GATTCAGCGCGAGGCAAGATCAGTCAAAGGAGGCTTCCACCTAGTGATGTGCGGGCCGGGCCTCAAAGCCTGCAAGCCCGCCAAGCCCGGCCCAAAAAGCCTGGCCCGAGTCAAGCCTGGCAGCGGGCTCAAGGCCGGGCTCGGAGCGTAGTCAAGCCCAAGCCCGGCCCGGAAGCCCAGGCTTGGGTGTGCTGGCCCCGTCACTGTTCCCTGAGTTCAGAATAAGGAGAGAGCGACCTAATATGCACATAGAAGACAAAACGTAGATATTCTAGATATAACGGCTCTCGCCGAGCACGATTGTGTGTCACCATCTGGTGCCTGCCGTAGGCGCACGCCCGTAGACTTCGCTGCAACTCGACTTGTTCCGCAGGTGTAGATCTTCTGGAGGTTATAATTTAGTGAGTACATGCAGTATTAATCTACTACACCCAAATACATTCCCTTTTGATAGCACCGGAACACTCGTTGTATTGTGAGCAAGCCCGGGCTTAAGCCCAAGGCTTGGGCCGGGCTCGGGCTCGGCTCGGGCTCAGGGCCCGGCTCGACGTCGTCACAAGCCCAAGCCCGGGCTTTGAGCCCAAGCCGGGCCCGCACATCACTACTTCCACCTCAGCTGACGGTGCCAAGAAAGCAGCTACACAAAGCTCTGCAGCTACCACTGACGATGATGAGGACGACTTTGACCGCTCTCGTAGGGCGCGTTTCAACACGGCGGCTGGTGGTTGGCGTGCAGAACTGAAGCGATACCGTGAAGATCCCTGTCCTGATGCTACAAAGGACACCGACACGATCGCGTGGTGGCACGTACGTCCCAGGCTGTTGCTATGCTCTAGAACCTTCACGCTGACCACTGGATGTCTAGTCCCACAAGCATATATATCCGACGCTTGCTAGAATGGCTCTAGACATTCTCGGGATACCTGCGTCCTCGGTATCATGCGAACGGCTCTTCTCCCGAGCGAAGCTGGTGAACACCGACCGTCGCTCATCGCTTGGTTCTGACATCTTTGAGGCCCTCGAAGCGCTTAACTTCCACTGGCGCGACAACATTGTTGACTACGCCCGTGTAAACTCAGACCACATGGAGGAGGTGGAGCTCGAGACGGAGCTCGAAGAGTTCAAGGCCCTTGAGAATGCGGAGATTTTATACAGTGATACTGACGATGACGATGACACCTTGGAGCCCTCTTCCGTCGGTCAGAGCTCAGCCACGTGAGCGAGCAAGTTTTGTTTTTCCTACTAAATATTTCGTTCAATTTCATGGAGCTCATGTTCACCGACGCTTTGTGCGCACGTTGTTTACCCACTTTTGGTCTTATATTGCGCCTTTCGTTCGTTTGTGAGACATTTCATAGAGTATTTAAATACCCGCCAGATATATCTGTTGATGACACAGACCACAACGGCAACCTTGCCTCCGAGCTCATCAGACATCCAGCCATGTCAAGCACTCCCTCAGCATCCGACTCCACTCAACAGTATCTTCGCGATGTTTTACAGTATGCCGAGACAATCTGGCAACGCATGAGTGGTATGTAGCAATTGTTTTCGTGCTTAGCATCTTGTTGATCGCTGCACCACTAGATCCTGAGCATCAGCTCAGTGCCGTGCTCGACAAACAGGGCCGCGACACTCGAGTGTCAATTTTTCAACATTTGCTGGAGGTTAAGAACCATGCGCGGTATCTGCCTGAAATACAGGCATCTGGTACGCTCTTCTGGCATTCTCAAAACTCATGCGCACTCACATGTTGTTTTATTTTTGACTCACAGGATTTGACGTTTCTCTGTACCTTGAGAAGCCAAGCAGGGTATTCCTACCACCCGCTGGCTTGGAATTCATGATATTGTCATGAAGGCGAGTCGCGCGGTGTCTACTGCACGCTGGAATGCCGCCTTAGCGGGTGAACTTGTAGAGCTTCCTGAGTTAGCTGAGTAGTACAGCCTCGTGGCTGATTTGTCCTGAACTTAGCATATTATACTGTTAGTCTACTTGTATATGTTGCTCTAAGTCAAAACCCATTCATTTGTACGATATTTACTAGGAGGGGACCGGTCTGAGCTGGTCCCAACTGGTCATGGACCAAATTTGGTCCGAGACCGGTCATGACTGGTCCTGGACCGCAAGGAGGACTGTGCAGGACCAGGACCCAGTCTTGGTCCAGTCCTACATAAATATATGCTGGTCCTTGACTGGTCTGGGTCCTGGTCCTGCTTGGTTGCTGAAAAAGACCGGACTGGACCGGACCCTCAAGCACTAATCCATCCATCTTACTCGAGAATGCTAACCGATGCCGTGAGTGATATCTCGGAGTGCTAGACGTCCCGAGCCTACAGCTGGTTATACTGGCAGTACCAGTGAGATGACCCCGAACAAATAGCGTGGATTTTCCGTGAAATATTTGAATGGATTCGGTGCTCGTCGAAGGCTGCCTTTGGGGATTGCTACTGTGTAATAACGTTGTACTACTTTCCCGAAATGCATAC